ACGGACTGTATGTGTCTTTCTTTGACTTAACTGAAAAAAAAAAAAAGCTGCAATTATGTGGCTCATAGTACAGGTGTTTTTGTGATATACTCAATTTAAATACCTTCAAAGTATATTTAGTATCAGTTTTAAACACATTCACTCTCTCTGTATACATATATCTCACAGACTGAATTTTTCAAATAAAGTGTCAATTATAAATAATGTACACATACCCCAGTGTTCCAAAAGTAATAATACGCGCACGGATCTCGCTGTAGCATTGGGTCACTCTAATCATGATAAGTCATCCCGCTAATCAGTTAAGAGTGGCCACGTAGGTGTCGGTGTGGCATATTCAGGTGAACTGAATATTTTCTTGAGTTATTGGATAGGTCCACTAAATAACAGAAGAGTCGTTCAATATATCAATTACAGAGTATTATTACATCTGTTACTAACCGAGTCGATGTAAAATGAAGTAACGAGAGTACACACAAAGTGCAGTACGAAATAAACAATCCTTATTCAACACTAAAAACAACGTAGTGTATTTGCTTGTAATTTACTTACGTTGGACCATCACTTTCACTGGATAACTGGACTGGCTACTGACGACCAAGCTATATTATACTGACTTCAGTGATGTTCGAAACCAGACTGCCAAATTTAAGGTTTCTTAGTTTCGAAAGAATCTCGCATTTACCCAGAAAGACATGTGTACCAAGTAACAGGTCATTCTCAGTACAACATAAGTTGGGCCATAATCTATAGGTATTAATTGAACAGCTGTTTAAGGAAACTGCTATCGACGTTGTTACATGACGTCGTATTAACATAACATAATATTTAGGGACAACAAGGGACCTATTGATCCATGTAGACTGTTCCATCATCTAAACTAAACTAAAACTATTACAAAAATAATAAATAAATAAAATAAAACCTCAAAGCCAGTCTTTATCATTCATATAGTTATCAAGCTTTCTCTTAAACTTATTTAAAGTCATATGAGGAGAGGTTAAGACCTCGGAACTTGTTTTCTCTTGAAAAAAGACGAGCTACAGGGGATCTGAATGAAGTGTTTAAGATTGTTAAAAGAATTGACAGTGTTGATGCATAATCGTTTTTCATACTTTAATGGCGAGAATGGTGGGACTAGGGGACACAAATATAAATTTTGTCAGGGCAAGAGTCATCTTCAGCTAAGACAAGTTTATTTTTCTAACAGGGTGGTTGTCCTTTGGAACAGTTGCCTTCAGGTGTTGTGGAGGCAGTAAAAAACCTCTCCACCCCAGGCAACATTCTAGTAGCCCTCATCTGGACCCTTTCCAACAATTCAATGTCCTTCCTAAGGTAAGAACCCAAGACTGAACATGACACTCTAAAGGTAGCCCAACCAATTACCTGTACAATGAAATTATAATTTATTTAGACTTGTATTCAATATTTCTGTAGATACAACCTAAAATCCTATTTGCCTTACATCTAGCAACAGCACGCTGCTTGGATGGCTTATGAGACTGAGAAACCACTAGAGCAAAATCCCTCTATTTCGTAACACTGGTAAGATCATTCCTATCCAAATTATACTTATAATTCAAATTATGATAACCCACATACATTACCTTGCATTTATTATAATTAAAACCCAGCTACTATTTATTCGCCCAGTTCTCTAAATGATCCAAATCCTTCTGTAAAATAGCAGAATTCTCCTGACAGCCAGCTACACCCAAGGCCTTAATATCATCAGCAAATTCAATTAATTTATTGACCATTCCCTCGTCTATCTCATTAACGTAAATCAAAAAGAGCAAAGGTCCTAAGACTTAGCCCTGAGGTACCCCACTTGTGACATTAATTCAATATGACTGATTTCCATTTATAACAAGCTCTGTCTTCTTCTGTCCAGCCACTCTTCTATCCAGTTAGCTAACTTATCCCTCACAACTATAGAGATATTTTTACAAGCCTTTTATGTGACACCTTGCTAAATGCTTCCTAAAAATGCAGATACACCAAATCTACACCCTTACTCTCATCTACATAAGCAGTAACCTTTTCAAAAAAATGTCAAAAGATTTGGAAGGCAAAGTTATCCCTTAGTGAAGCCATGTTGACTATCCAATAAAATTCTAAACTTTGTTAAATGGCTTTGCAAAGCATCTTTTTATCAGACTTTCCAAAACCTTTCTCACAACTGATGTAAAACTAATGAGCCTAGAATTATTGGGACGGTTTTTATCACCTCCCTTGAAAAGAGGAGTGACATTAGTTAACTTCCAATCCTCTGGTATATGCCCACTATTGAAGGGCTCAAGAAATTTTTAAGCAGTGTTCTTCCTGAGCATGATAACAGGTATTACTTACTTCGAGAGCAACAAAGGAACAAAGATAAATTGGAACAAAATCAACTTAAGAGTTTTATTGACCACGTGTCGTATGAAACCTGTAAATATTTAGAGCAGTTGTTGTTTTCTTAGTAAAAATGTACACAATGAGCTATATGCACTCTTTTCAGCGTTGGGAATCGAACTCCAGAGTTAAGCGTTTAAAGTCCACGAATTACCGCTGACCCACCAGGGGACGTTCAGAACAAAGGATGAATTCAGAACAAATATTATAACACTGCAATAAGAAAGAAACAAATGGTGTATTCAAATATAACAACTGATCAACTTTGTAAAGTAAGGATAGCTAATGCCTGAACCTTAGAGTTTTTCAACCTTAAGTGTCGCATGAAGCACTTTACTTTTAAGATTGTCAATATTAAGCTTCCGGAGGCTTAGCGGTAAGCCTGAGGACATATATTGCTAAAATTGGTTTTCGATAGCCGCGGTGGGAACACCATAGATAGTCAATTGTGTAGCTTTTTTTAATATTACGTTATATACCATTAGAACATAAAATATATTTCCTCACATATTTTATACGTATTCTCTATTCATATATAACACATTTTGCTATTAGAATTCTATAAACTGAAAGCACATCTCTCACTGTGAGTAATTTTTACTTTCTCACTAGAAGTAGTGTAATAGAGAGAGAGAATAAATTTTCTGAAGAAATATGAAAATATGTACAATTAAGGTGACTTTATAGATCAGAACAAAAGGTAATTATATATTGATCTATATTAGAGACAGGGCATAGACAGTGTCACAAATCATCACACAAGAAAACTAAACCTATAATAATTAAAATTAAAATGATCAGTTGGTTTATTTGCATTTAACTATGTCTTAGGCCGTAAAATATATTTATAAGGCTTTATCACACATTTTTGTGATGTTTCATCAAATTTCCAGAGTATAAAGCAATATTTCTAAAACTATCATGAATCTCCGAGAAACGACAGAGGGCATTATGAGATGTATAAATATTTTGTTCTAAACTAATATAGGTGAGGTAAGTTTCAGGATAGAGAAAAGATGTCGGAACCGGAGGCTGCTGGTGATAATGTTAACAATGAAGAAAATAACCCACCTGAAAGTAAAACAGAGAATAAAAATGAAGAAGAACAACCTGAACCTCCTAAAGAAATGAAAGCTGTAGTACTTGCTGGTTTTGGTGGGTTAAAGTCAGTTAAAGTAATGAACAAACCTCAACCAGCTGTTGGAGAGGGCGAGATTTTGATACGAGTAAAGGCATGGTGAGTTTGGTACAACTTACATTTTACAAGTTACAACGTTTTGTGATTATAAATATAATTTAGTTTAGTGTTAAATTTTATTGTTTGTTACTGTTAGTTCAAGTATTACGGCCACAAACGAGGCTGGCAGACTTTATAGTACTTAATACTAATGATAGTAACAGATGATGTTTTAATTTTATTGTACACTACAATACAGACTAAAGTTGCAAAACGAACGAAGTGTGCGGTTACTTTTCGAAAAGGGTGAGTGGTCGGTGAAATAGTTTGCCTTCCGATTTGGTAGAAGCTGCAACACGGAGAAGAGTTTAATAGGAGATTGTATGAATATTTCAATATCAAAGAGACAGTTTCCACATGTTATGTAAACTAGGAAAAGTACAAGAATAGATAGTTTTGCTCTCCCAGACATGGAAAGTCCCTTAGTTAAATTTGATTTCAGTTCTGTAATTTGTAAGTAAAAAATAATAATAAAATAAAAATAGTTGTTGCTATGAATGAATATGTAGTAGTGTTTCAAATGTTTATTGGCATTATACCCTACCCTTATTCAGTTATTGAACCTTCATTGGCTATGGTTGAATTGATGAATAAGCCTGTAGTAAATTGAGTCGTTTTGACAAAAAATTAAGTAGATGTTCAATTTGACTAATCTTTTGAGAAGCAAAATGCATACCCAGCCCTGCCCTGGGTGAAAGCCTGACCGATCCTGTGAAAGTCCAGAAGTAAAAGTGAACTCTTGGTCCATAATGGGTTTTCTTTTTCAAGTTCTTGTAATGTACTATAATTGTCTTACTTCAAATGTTTTGGAGGTTATTTTAAGGAGACTGCACTCCATCTTTCTTCTCTTGCAAATATGGAAAATATACAGAAATTGGCTAAAAATGAGCAAAATTTCTATGAAGATTTTCAATAGCATTCATTCTCCAAGACATGGAAAATGGATCTGAAGCGAGGGGGTGTAGAAGTGGAGTCAAGAAACTTGGCAGAAGTGGCAAAGCAGTCCTGTCACTTATTGTTCAGAGCAGCCCATTTCAAAGTAGAGATGTGGTTAAGATTTCTACTGCCTGAATTTGGTACATTTATTGATTTAATGCATTAAATTTAATAATAATCTTGAATTCTGTTTCTACAGGAAACTGTATTCTACATCAAAAATTAAGAAATATACTAAAAATATTTAATTAGGTAAATACTTCTCTAATTCAGTCTTAAGTTCTAATACTAACTGTAGTATAAACTGGAATTTAAATGGTGTGAATCAGAAAAAAAGTGGGAAACTTAAATAGCAGCTATAATTTTATTCTCTACATTGTAGCTGGATATTTTATTAATGTATATTTTGGTTATTATGGGAAACAATCATTGACTTGTAGAATTTTTGTTGTGTTGTGAGTTTTGTTCAAACTTCACTCTTTACAGTAGCTACTGAAGTAACAATATACATGTTATTTTCTAAAATACTTTTATTTTTCAATATATGATAAATTTTAATATTTAATTGTTTGGTCTTGGAATACAAAGTTGCATGCCAAGTTTGGTCTGGATTGGTGAACTCATTTAGGAAGATATGCATCTACAGACAGTTTTCCTTGATATTTGATACTTACTGCACCAGTATGGCTTAATATATGTAGTGCATATGTGAAGTACATCTGTACTTTGATTTTTATACTTGACTCTGCCAAGCAAAGCTCAGCAGAGCTTGATAAAACTTGATTTTTAATAGTCCAAATGAAACAGTTAATTTGGCATTGTTTTTCAAATTTGGGTCAAAATAAACATTATTATGATCTTCTTGATTCTAGTGGATTAGTAAGTGTATGTAGTAATTCATTTGTTCTTGTTTCATTGGATTTTTATTCATATAAAATATTTTTCTAGATTTTATTCTTCTGCTTTTTGGATGAGCAAATAACAGTTGAAAAAATGTATTGAGCACTGGCAAACCAAGTTCTAGTTATATGAATACAACCCTGGTGATAGTTTTGTAGCTGATAATTGACAGTTTTCTTCAACTCATAACTACTAAGAGTGTCATCTACTGCCAAGTTGGGTCTTGCAAACATTTATCCTGTTATTATAACATTGGCAAATAATCTGTCAATGTCCAGTAGGCTCGAATCTTTGATATGTAGCTAACCTTAGCAAATTGGTTGCTGATCATTATTTTGATTCACATTTGCTGTTACATTTACTTTAAACTTGAGACTGTCATTATCAGGGCTGGGATCACTGGATCTAAAGCATAAGGAAAAATTTTGCTGTTGGGGGGGGGGATGGGAGTATACGAAGTGTTCATAAAAATCCTTTATGAACTAGTTTTATAAGGACAACTATACAACTTAAAATGTTTATAAATGCAAGATATCTTGAGAAAAATAAAAAAATATTTAATTGAAGTTTACAAGGATATCTTTTGATTGGTGGATAAAGACTCCTTGATTTGTTTTGGCTTTATTATTAGAGACAAAAGGATACAATATTGATCTAGAAAAGACAGGTTAGGCTACTCTTGGACAGTTTTGTTTTCTTTCTAGCATTGATTAGCTTACTGTCATTTGCAAGAGTGGAGATTGGCTCTTACAAGACTTTAACTCTTCAACACAGGCTCGGTCTGAGGGACGGACCTCATA